AAAAAAAAAAAAAAAGCCGGAAGTGATGCTGTGGCTTAAGTGGTAGAGCGCTAGCCTTGAACTGAAAAGCTGAGGGACAGCGCCCAGGCCCAGAGTTCAGGCCCCACTACCGGACCCCCCCAAAAAAAAATATCTAGGGAAGGTGATAGGATCCATGGACGCGGGGTTAGAGGGGCTTAATCTCTAGAGACTGCCTGGGGGCTGTCAGTAGTCTGGAATACATTTTCTCCAAGTCAAGGTCAAGTTGTCACCTACCTTTCTTCCTTTCCCTATGTCCTCATCACAGCCTTACTCCCTCTTCTTCGAGGAAAAAGAAGTTGGCCTATTGATGTCTGTAAACTTCATTAAAACCCTTGCTTTCCCACTAACTGTAAAGGTCTGAGATGTACACCTAAAGGAAAGTAACTTAAAGATAGCAGCCAGGGAATCTAGAAGCCTCTACCTGGTATTTGTTTACTCCTACCCAATTGCCTCCTGTCTCTCTCTCTTTCCATTCGACCTTTGTGGTCCAAGAGCCCCACACTACACACAGTTGGCAAGCAATTGGTTGTGATTGATGCAGAGGATTCAAGGTTTGAGTTGATGTATGGGTGGACAGGAAGGCAGGGAAGATGACACCTTCAACTTTGTATTTGTCAGGTCTAAGGTAGATGTGGGACATCTCTGAAGGCAGGAACAAGCTCAGTGATTACTTTGCAATTACTGCCCCTAGGACAGCTTGTAGAGACAGTTGGGAACTGACTTACTGAGTGACCTAATCAACCAGATTGAGACAACCTGTATATCTTGCACTGCATTGAATATTAGGTTCAGAAGATTCCACATTTGGTTGCATCCCTGAAGCACACGGATTGGAGACTTGTTTTCTGATTTACAGGTGTCTGGGATGGTTCCAGTACCACTCATGGTTTTTGCTTACAAGTGATAGAAACCAATCTGATAAATTTAGCAGAAAATAGCCATTGGATGAAAATATGGGTATATAATTCATGGGAGACTGGACACCTACCTATGCTTGGAGAATGGGCTTTTTTTTTTTTTTCTAGAGTGGAGCCCCTACTCAGCAGCAGTAGCCCCTTCCTATATTTTCATTGTTGTAGATACTATCTGGGGGCAATCAGGAGGTGCCCTCACTTCTAAGAGGAGGAAAAGAGGAAATAAATTGTCTTTTAAGCTGAGATCTGAGGATCTTGGTTCAAAGCCAGGCTAGGCAGAAGACTCTGTGAGGTTCTCATCTCCAGTTTAACCACCAAAAAGCCAGAAGTAAAGAGAAGGCTCAAGTGTTAGAGTGCAAGCCTTGAATGAAAAAGCCAAGCAAGAATGCAAGGCCCTGAGTTCAAGCACCAGTCACACACACACACACACACACACACACACACACACACACACACACAACCAGCAGAGATCTGGACTGCTAAGGAAGCCAGAGATCAGGAGATTTGCCAAGGCAATCATTGATATCACCAATGCACTCTTTGGGAATAAAAATACTGGCCTAGGGTCAGAGAAGATAAAGCAGCATCCTTCTCTGAAGCCACCCAGTTCATTCTCCACCTGACTCATGCTGTGGATCACCAAGCAACCCTCTGAAAATCATTCTGTTCCCCCATGTAGATCCGCCCACAGGGAGAGAATGCACTCAACAGCAAACAGAAAGATCCAGGCTGCTTCAAAGCCCTGCTTCCCTTTAGAAATTAATGAATTGGCATCTGATTTGAAATATCAGTCTCATGAGCCTGGTTAATGTGTGTCTGTTCCATAGAGATGCTGCTGTTTTTAGGACTAACAACTGTGCTTTCTGAGCTAATGTCTGGACCCAGAATGGTGATAAATTCACCAAGGTAACAAATGCGCCTCTAGGGACATCCAAATTATTTGCATTTTAAAAAAAATCTCCTTAAAACACACACACACACACACACACACACACACACATTTACCCCTCCCCCATTGAAGCATCTGAGTGTATATATACATAGCAAAAGAATCCCAGGATTTTCCCTCCATGTTTTTATCTTCCTTTTTCATGGTCTGATTCCTGCTGAAGTTGTGAGCACAAAGAAACCAAACTAATGGGAGAGAGTAGATTCTTCCTGCATTTTTCTAGGCCTTTGAGTTGCACATCAAATCCAGGAATTATGACCCTGGTTTCCTGTAAGATTAACAACAATTTTCCCAGCTTGGTGCCCATCTATCTATCTATCTATCTATCTGTATATATATGTGTGTGTGTGTGTGTATATATATATATATATATATATATTTTTTTTTTTTTGTGAGTCCTGCGGCTTGAACTCAGGACTTGAGCACTGTCTTTGAGCTTCTTTTGCTCAAGGCTAGCACTCTACCACTTGAATCAAGTGTCACTTCCAGCTTTTTCTGTTTATGTGGTACTGAGGAATCAAACCCAGGGCTTCATGCATGCTAGGCAAGTACTCTACCACTAAGCCACATTCCTAGTCCCTCATCAATGATTTAAAAACCAACCATGTACTCATACTATATCAGCAGTTAAAAATTGGATGGTGACTTTGAAGATAGACTAGGGAAAAAAACCTTCAATGATCTCATTGGCAGAAAGAGATGGCAGAAAGTGCTAACATTTCTCTGTCTCTCTGTCTCTGTCTCTCTGTCCTTCTCTGTACTATGACTTGAACTCAGGGCCTCGGCACTGACCAATAGCTTTTTTACTGAAGACTGACTTTCTACCACTAGAACTCCAGCTCTACTTATGACTTTTTTGGTGGTTAATTGAAGATGAGTGTCATAGACTTTCCTGCCCAGGCTGGCTTTGAACTGAGATCCTCAGATCTCAGCCTCTTGAGTAGCTAGGATTATAGTCCTGAGCCACTGGCACCCAGTTTGTAATTATTCTTTTTTTTTTTGGGGGTCTGGTCGTGGGGCCTGAACTCTGGACCTGGGTGCTGTCCCTCAGCTCTTCAGCTCAAGGCTAGCGCTCTACCACTTGAGCCACAGCGCCACTTC